GAGCTCATGGCCATAGGTGAGGGTAGGAACAAAAATTGAGCAGTAAATCGAAAGTTTTGCCTTTCGGCTCAGCTCTCTCTTCACCACAACGATACAGCAATCACATCACTGAGATGCTGCACCGATCTGTCTGTCAATCTTATGCTCCATCCTCCCCTCGCTCGTGAACAAGACCTTGAGATACTTGAACTCCTCCACTTGAGACAGACACTAAACTTTCAACTTAAATTTCAATACGAAGGAATACCACTGTGATGTGTAAATCTTTCTATAGACAATAAAAATAGAAATATAGACAATAATTTTTAATGTTAAATAATAGTACTTTCTTTTATATTACTATGTGGCCTCATAGTTGTGTAATCCCTCAGTGTCCAGGTAGGTTACATAATGTCCCATGACTGCAGTGTCCCTATGTGATCTTATAATTGTTCTGATACAGCTCAAGATCCTGGCAAAGCTATGAAAGGTTCATTTCTGTCCTGTGACTATGACGTTTTTTCTATGTGCTCTAATACTAGTCAATACTAGTTTAATAGTGATTATTATCTGATTTTCAATACTTTTGAGAACCCTAATCTATTCTTTTTTCATATCCGTATTAACCCATATTCAGATATAATTAATTTAATATATGAAACATGCACCTCTAAAAGCAGAAATAGAATCCCAGCTCAACCTGTTGTTTGTATGGGATGGTATTTGCTGTCATATACTGAGGGCACATAGTATCATATAGCTCATAGGTTTATTAGGCTACAAATTGGTTTTAGATATAGGATCTGGCAACCCAAAGTGAGAAGCTGTTTTCTGATCTAGTTTATCAGCTTGAGAACCAAAACAAAACAAAATGTGACTTAAAGGTTTACTATGTCACTATCTGGTTAGGGGTCCATCACCTGCTTGTTTCTATGAATGTCACCGCTCTACCTTACATTTACTCAATTACAGGTGGTTTTATTGCTCAAATACCTTTTTAAAACAAGCATTCTAACTGTGACTGGGGTCGCCTCTCCACAGATCTGACCTGTAACTTGGTCTGGTTCAGTTAACATGAAGATTTAATACCATAATGTGAAACTTTAACTTGTTTGACTTACTAATATAATATAATTTTTATGCAACTACCCTATCCTTAATTAACTTAACAAAATTACATTACACATATTAGCCAATGCTAGTTAGTACCCTGGTATCTAAAAGCATCTAAATGACTAATTTTAACAAGATATTTGTCCTATCTGGCTTTTCCTAACTGTATTTCCACAGACTTCCTAGGTAGGCCTGTCAACAGAAATTTGGGAGCAGGGTCAAGAAGTCTCACATGGGTCCCCTTTAATATAAATTAACAGGACGAGGGTCCAATTCTGGCTTCCTAAACCCCCTGGACCCGGGACAACAGACCCCTTTGCCCCTACATCTGTCTACTGCCCTGACTAGTCGGTTTGTAAATAGAGCGCAAAGGTTATCAGGCTGTGGTGAAAACAACATACCAAACACAGGGCTATTTTAGGAGTGACCCAGGTCTTTGGGAAACATGGCGTCAGCACAAGTTAAGTGTTCACGTTCAGGATGTCACTGCAAGCCACTTAAAAACAGACTATTTACAGCAGTTCTGTATCATGAAGCAAATGTGGTTAAATGAGTGACTTTTCGCTTGTGATAATCAACTAAATCAACATTATACAACATTATACACTTCAGTCTCAGGTCAGTTCGTGTTCATTTTGCCATCTACATAGGCTGTTTGGAAATAAAAAATGAAAAATAAAACTTATGCTGGACCAAGTTATGCCATTGTGTCCTTAAACAAGACACTTAACCCCTGTTGCTTGGTATGAAAATGGTGTGTGCGCGTGAATGATTGGTGATGGTCAGTTCTGTCAGTCTACAACCAACAGTTTATCACCTCCCAGTACGGTGTGAATAATGACACAGTGAGGTGCTTTGAGAGGCTTCAACAAGCCTGTAAAATACATCACAAGTGCAAGACATTACTATTCAAACTAAATAAGTAGAAATTGCTACCAGACCGTAAAGAAACTCAAACTTTGTTAAACATACATTGTGTGTTGACTAAACCAAGAGCTTAGGTTGGCTCTCTGCTTTGGTGGGGACATTACCTCATATGAATTCTCGAATTCTTGATTTCTTCGATTGCTAACAACGCACGAGTAGGGCTCCGTTTGGGAGGTCCACTTGTGTGCTTTTCAGGAGTGACTCATTATAAGGCAAGTTTAATTGAAGATGAAGACAAGTTCCTTTTGAAAAGTTTTTCAGAGTTTGGTGAAAAGCGTCTTCACTTGCCGCCATCTTCGGGTGCTGGACACCTACCCAGTTTAGGCTCCTGGCACCATGAATGACATCACTCTGTTGCAGCCAATGAAATAGTGGCGTGGGTAACCCTGTTGTCATATCACTGAATACATCTCAGAACATCTAATGAACAAAATGTGAACTAAAAGATGTTACATTAATACTACTGAGTTTGGAAAAGTATTGGAATCAATTTATATTTTTGTTTATTAAAATAAAATGGCAAATATTGGTAGGGACTATTTTGTCTTCCCCAAATATTGGTTGTGACATGTCCCCACTGTCCCTGCAAACCTATGCACTTGAACTAAACTAAATAAATAAAAATAAAATTAAAATTTAACAACATTTTGACAAAAACAAAAGACAAGGACTAAAAATCCCCCCAAAAATTGTTGACAAAAGAAACAATGAAATCACTACATTCTGTACATGCTGATTCTTCAAACTGGGCCAACATTACAATCTGCAGTCTCTGGTCTGCTGGCTCTAACCCCAAGGTTCACAGTCCTCTCTGCCAGAGCACGTGGAGCACTTTCCTAGAATTACTCTATGGACACCGACCAGCATAAACCAGACCCGGCCTACTAATCTAAAAGCAGTAAAAACTTGGTTTTAGTTCAACTCATCAACTTTCTAATACAACTATATAACTGCAATAAGGAAATGTGCAATAGCTAACGTCACTAACATCTGTAATAAGTAGTGCTACGTCATGCACTATTTATATTGCAATTTAAGGAATCAGTGAATGAATCTGAGATACAAACAGTCACGTTTCCTGGCTCCGATCAAGGGTTCTTTTGCCAGAACTTACAGTACTGATCCTTCCTAATATTACTTTTGTAGGAACTGACCTTTGCAAACTGGGACATACAAACCCCAAACACAGTACTATCTTTAGAGGAAATTACCATATTAGAGAATTCATTATATTTCATCCAATCATCATTTGTCAGGTCCTATATAACACAAAATGGACTCTGGTGAGCTTTAAACTATGTTATAATGTTTTTACCTCGTCAGTATATAAGTAGAGTTGCATTAAGTTTGTTTTGTCAGATGTTTGAGTTATCCTTTATTATTAGTCTGTCTATATCTCTAAAGGCAAAATGTTCCACCTTGTAATGTCATGTCAGTTTGTAAAGTTTTCAAGTTAATAACTGCATTTACCCTTTGGTTTTGTATAGATATGAAGTGTCAGAGCTGAAATTATCCAAATGATTCTAGTGAAGGTGTTTAAAGTTTAAAAACATGATGTATTACCACACGACATCACAAAATAAGAGAAGAACTCAGTCTAACTATGCAGGGTTTGTGTGTTAAACGTGTGAATGAAACAAAAAACAACTCCAGGTAGGTTTATGATGAAGAAATTGTCTTTCGATTGACCTCAGTTCACCTCACTGTTTCATCCTTACCACGCAAGTCACAACACCTTGGTTATGAGAGAAGTTTCAGTAATAGAGAAGATGTGTTCCCCAATCAGTCACTCTGGAAATACAGCACTCCCAAGCAATGAGGAGGAATGCTTTTGTAGATTACATTTTCCATAACAGACCTTGGAGGGTGAAGTGAGGTTAGGATATTGTCCGGCTCAGAATCTGTCCCATTTTGATCTTACTGCCACAGGAAAACTAATGTGGGTTTGCTTACATCTGCAAAATACAAAGTAACATCTGAGAAATATGGAAAGCTGGTTGACTGTAGAGCCATCGTACATGTTTTTGTCATTCGTGAAAGCTCAAAGCCTCTAGATTTTAATTTGAATAGTAGCTACAGGTACTGAGGTTTAGGTGGTGAGAATTGACATCAGAGTTCTTTTCAGGTTTTAACCAACTGGATTTCAGCTTTGGAACAGGAAACCCAAATGACTCATTCTGCTTTCTGACTGGATAATGGTCTTCAGAACCAAAACAGAAAACTATAAATAACTTTAAATCTGTGTATCATTTGTTGATTTGTTTTTCAAAATAAAACCAAAAATAAGAAAATGAAAAAACAACTATTTTCTTCATTATTTGTCTCCAAAACCCAAATGAAAAAGGGACAGTGATTTGTTTTTTCAGGTTTCAATTTTTTTGTTTTTTGTTTAAATGAATAATGGAAAAAAGGATAATTTAAACTCCAAGGCATACGGTGACCAGGTCTAAGCCGGGCTCAGTTCTGGTCTGATCCCGGTCTCAGTCCTAAATCAGGACTAAACCAGAAATCAATCAAGAGTGTCAGGACAAACCTGGAGCTGTGCATGCATGGACTGTCAGGTGATCAAACCTGAGACCAGGACCAGGACGGGACTGAGACCGAGACTGAGACCCCCCTGGTTAAGTCCTGGTTAAGTCCTGGTTTAGTCCTGGCTCAAGTCTGGCATCGTAGTTTAAGTTTTTTTTTTTTTTCCCCCCCCCATTTTGTTTTGGAGACAGATAATGAAGAAAATAAGTTTTTTTATTTTCTTATTTTTGGTTTTAGTTTGAAAAACAAATGAACACATGATACATGGATTCATGTCCATTGCTTTTGCAGTGAAGAATAAGTTAGAATTACAATTTGATTTGTACGTTTACATCTGGGGACAACTAGTTCATGTTTATGTAATTTAAACTTTTAAGTATATCCAGTTCCTTCAAATCCCACTAACCATTAATCCTTCATATAGTTTAGAATGGAGTGATGAGAGCCATTAGTTTGTAGTAAAAATGTTAACTGTTTATTAAACTATTTTCTTCAGGTGACATTAAATCTCAGGAAATAGACATGCACCATTAAAAAGTACAAAAGTAAATGATTTCGTAGTGACAATATCCAAGACCAAAACATTCAGACACATTATGATCCTTTGGTTACAGTTAAGCTCATTAGTACACGTTAAAAACAATCAATAATACCTTCTATACATCTACAATAGTGAAGTGTCAAAGGCAGTGTTGAGGAAGAGGTAAAGTATTTTTGCATACAAGAGTACATGGCCCGCAACACGCCGAATCATCAAGTACGAAAGTCATAATCAAAGTCTCGAAAAAGACATAGCGAATAATATACAGTACTTTGGAAGGCATTTTGAGCCTGTTCACTTGTACTCTGTAGGCTCCTCCCCTTCTTCTTTAAGTAAACACGTGCGTACAAGAGCTTCGCTGACGATGTAGGGGTCGCAGTTGGCGGAGGGGCGGCGGTCTTCAAAGTAGCCCTTCTTGTCTTGGCCAACGGAACGCGGGATTCGTATGCTGGCTCCCCGGTTAGCGACGCCGGCGGAGAATTCGTCGATGTTGGATGTTTCGTGGTGCCCGGTGAGGCGGCGAGCGTTGTCCAGGCCTCCTTTGGGGTCGTAGGCTCTGATGTGGTACATGTGTCTCCTGGCGAGACGCTCAATGGAGTCCTCGATGACTCTGTAGAGAGGGGAAGTGTGGTTATGATTTTGTTTTTGACTGTGGAGGTTTGGGAATTTTGAATAACGATGACAACAACTTTGCTTTTTAGAGCATTCCAAATTGGAGACATTAATTTGGCTGTACCAGATTTTAGAGTGTAGTTGAGTAAAATTTGATTTCCCTAGTATTGAAGAAGCAGCTATTGAGTAGAAATGAGACCACTGTGTTGTGAGCATCTGAATATTAATAGTTTTATCGTCCAAGAGTCAGGAAGTGCACTGTTAGCATGCCTTCAATCTGGCCTCTGGAAGGAGTGAAACACTTAAACTATGTGGTGAATAATTAGGATACAAGGACCTTTGAGAAATTATTCTAGACACTTTTTGAAGCCTAAAATCCCTCATACTGAAAAAAAAAAAAACTTTGAATTTTCTCCCTATAAATTTGGACTTTGGGTGCAACACTACAATTTGAGTTGCACAGTAAACCAAGCAAACATTTTACAACTTTAAGGACCAACTTCTTTCACATTAATATGATATGTCAGTTGAAGAATATCCTTTGTAGCTAAAGACAAAGTGGACAAAGGGTCATAGGGCAGGCTTGATGAGATTATAGCACACTTGAATAGCCTCTGGAGTACTCACTTGAGCCCGCCATCTTCTCTCATCTCCTTTGTGCTGAAGTTTGTGTGGCAGCCAGCGCCGTTCCAGTTTCCAGTGATGGGCTTGGGGTCAAAGGAAGCCACCACGCCAAAGTCTTCACAAACCCTGTGCAGGATGAAGCGGGCTATCCACAAGTGATCCCCCATGTTGATGCCTTCACAAGGACCCACTTGGAACTCCCACTGAAAAGCCACAACGGAAAAGTTTAATTATTAGATCCGTTTTGGTCTAAGGAAAGTAGTAGGTGCAGGAAATATACATAGCCTACAAAGTGCGGTCTAGAATGTATACTTTTCTTTACAGTGACCAAAATTGGAATAATTATACAGCTTGATCAAGTGCAAGTTCTGTATTGTCCTGTTATTTAACTTAACTTTTTATAGGGTGAAGTTAACATTAGATTTTGTTTTTAATAGAGCCAAAGTAGCATTTTGGTATTCTGATTTTGTAAACTAGTAAATGCCAAGAATATGATCTTCCAGCAGTGAAATTAAGAGTTTTGCTGATAGCTTGGTAATAGTGAATTTTCTTCTAATTCAACAATGGACAATCTTAACTATTGAAACTTTGGGTGAAATATTTGCAATTTAAAGAGACATTTACCTGAGCGGGCATGACTTCTGCGTTGGTTCCACAGATCTGCACGCCAGCGTACAGACAGGCCCTATAATGCGCTTCTACCACATCCCTGCCATACGCCTTATCTGCTCCCACTCCACAGTAATAAGGACCTAACCACAAAAACACAAGCACACCATTAGTCAATGGAACGCCTTGGCAAACACGGCAAACATGAGTTACAGGAAATCCAATACAAACCTTGTGGGCCGGGGAAACCATTGGAGGGCCAGCCAAAGGGGTGACCATCCACACCTAAAAGAGTATACTCCTGTTCCATCCCAAACCAGGGGTGCTGAGTGTCCACCATGCTCATGATCTTTTTACACATGTGTCTCAAGTTGGTTTCTATGAAAACAAAGACAAAAATTACATTATTATTGTAACATTTTGTAAGCAAATGTATGGTATTAAAGTATGTAGTTTGCATTTACTGAGTAGGCCTACTGGACAATAACAAATGGAACCTTTAAATGTATTGTCATATTTTACTAGACTATTAAAAGGTGCATTGTGCAACTTTTCTGGTGGAGGGTCTGTCACTTGCTTGTTTTTCTGGATAGGTCATTGCTCTGTCTGAAATGTTTCACACTATGGCATTAAACAGCTATAATATTTATTCAATTGCAGCTTAAAAATACCTAAAAAACAAAACAAAACTGGCATTCTGACTAAGCGGAGTCGACTTGTACCTTTAAGGAATCCAATGCCTATCCTAAATCCTAAAAGTCAATTAAATTAATCAACTTGAGGATGCTTACGTAAACAGTTATGGGTGACCCTTTTGCGTGCAAAGACTCACATGACCTAGAAATAAAACTGTACAACTGCACAAGTGTATCAGTTTAATTCGTTAATCAGTAAATTTTTTTATAGTCGTTTACTGGCAACACTATTCCCGCAATTGGGAAATCTTCACGGAGAGCTGGTTTAAGCAGGATTGTAGTTCCTTCAGACCTCATATCACTGATGAAAATTGATTTATTGATTCTCACATCTAGGAGACCCAATTTCCTTACTGGGGCGTTACATCATTCACACCACACGAACACAGTAGTAGTGATGACTGAAGCTGGTTCTCCAAAATGTGCAGTCTTTACAATAATGCTGATTTTTGTTTACAAAGAATACATCTCTAGATTGTTAGAAGCACTATGTACCCATCAATGAACCAATAGTGTATGTTTTAAGTCATATACTGCATTATGAAATATGTGAATGACGCTTTTTTTTTGTCCCCCACATTACCAAGCCTCTTTTCTCACCTGCAGGTTTCCGGTTGTACTTGAGCACCTCACACAGCACCAGCTTATTGGGGTCCTTCCTGAATGGGTCCCTAAACATGGCCGCCGGGATGAGGTACATGTCACTGTTGGACCCCTCGGACTGATACGTACTGGACCCGTCGAAGTTCCACTCTGGCAGGTCTGAAAAACAAACAACCAATCAATAAGTTTCAATTGGATTCTGATTCTGTGCTGTTGGCAATATAGTGGGAAAGTCCATCGTGGTGTCAATGTAAACATCTCAAATTGCAAGCTCCAGGGTCTATATTGTTGCAGCAGTATGGTAAAAAGTAAGGATCTATTACATACACATTCCTTCACATGGTCTCAGTGCTACATTTGCTTGTCTTTTATTCACCAATAACTGTTCCAATGTTTTGATTTTCTAACTTTCTATTGTGTGAATCACTTTTGTGAGGCTCTGTGAGAAGACTGCAGTTTTGATGGGTTCTACTAAAATAGATGAACATGGAAAATGAGACCTACTTAACTTTTTTTTTTACTTTTATCTTCTAAAATACTAGAATTTTAAGTAAATTCTCATGCATGTATTTAAAGTGGCACAAGAAAATTATGCAAACAAAAATTCATTTCCATATTATAGAACTGAATCCTTACCCTCTATAGTCTTGGGTTCAGAGTCCAGGGTTTTGGTTTTACAGCGCAGACCCTCTCCAGACCCGTCGATCCAGATGTACATGGCTTGGACCTTCTCCCCCTGAGGTAGGTCCATGTACTGCTGCTTCACAGCTTTGTTCAGTTTGGAGCTCAAAGAGGTGGCCATGTTGAGCCCTTAAATTCCTAGAGGAGACATAACAAGATGGTGTGAAGAGCATAAAAGTGAAATGTATAGGCAGTGCAAACCTGTTGCATAAGTGTTCATTATACAAAAGGGTCTGTTCAGTTTTTCAGAACACATGGGTTAAGTTACATAAAACAGAATAAACAGAAAAAGAGGAGAAGGAGAATGAAGACAGCATTAGTTGATCTAACAAAGAAAAAAAAAAAAAAAAAAACTAAAAACTAAAAAACAACAACAAAAACAACTTCTTAGGATTAAGACTTAGGCTGGGTTAAAAAAATAAAAATAAATTAAAAAATATATCTTATAAAAAGCATTTACTATTTTTACATTTCAAGAGGCCTGAAATATAACAAAACATTATGTAAGCTATAGATCTAAGACAAATTTTTGAACGAAGCATGTAGGGTATGGCAACAAAACGCTCGAAAATATGTAGTAAAGTAACAAAATCGCAATAAAAAGCAGCAGATAGAACAAAGGGCAGTCAAAGTAGATTTAACATTTCGCTTGACAACAAAGCTGTAGTCTTCTACTACGGAAGCAAAATAATCCACAACACTTACTGCGGTCTAGTAAGAACAATAATACACACAATTCAGAGTAAAATAGATAAATGCTTCACATCATAAGTAGATTTGTTAAAGATCTTACCGTATGTTAAGTGTAGACAAATATAAATCGGTTATAAAAGCTATTGTTAAAGGTTTGTAGGAACAGAAGGGCTCTTTTGTTGTTCATTCCTGCTGGCTCTTGCGCCCACGCGGGATTTATAGGAGCGCACAGCTCAGGGGCGTCTCTGATTGGCTGGAGCGAAACGTGACCGGTGCGTGGCCAGAGAATGCAGAAGGAGGGCGGGGGGCTATTTTATGGGTCTATTCGTCAAAAAGTGTTTTTTTTTATGACTTTGGGTCATTTATAAAGATTCGTTAAAACACGTTAGATTCAAAATGTATGAAAAAATAAAATGCAGTTTGAATGAAGGACGCGCTCATCAACTTTGGCTCAGGTTTGGGCACGTTTCTGCACGCGATGGGAAAACAAGTAAACATACGCTGCGCCACCTGCTGACCGTAATCCGTATCTACATTTGACCGTTATAAATGGAAAACTTTTGTACATTTTAGAAAGAACAACAATGTTCTGTTTTAAAACCAGTTCATCCTGTGCAGTCATACAGTTAGACGAATGTCTTAGTGGACTATAGTCACTTATTGTACATCATTGTTTAGCCTTAGTTTTAGTCCAATAAAACTATGAAAGGTAGATTCAGATGCGGGTAGTATTCAATAACATTTACTTAGTTACTTTTATTTGAGTAACTTTTTAAAGAAATTGAAATTTTCTAACAACATACTTTTACTCCTACTTGAGTCATAATTTTATCATTTTTTTTAAACAAAGTAACTCAATCAGGCCTACACTTACTTCAGTCAAATTTTCTTCCCACTGTAAGAAAGTCTACAAATGAAATTATTTGAACATTTGTTTCTTGCATCGCTTTTTCAGAAGTGATTTAGTTTTTTGTTTTTTAATCCCAACAGTTAGTCTTTAAATTATTTAAGTAGTAGTTTTCCCAAATACTTCTTTTACTCTTACTTATGCTCTGTAAAGCGTCTTTGTGACATATCTCTGTGGAAAGTGCAATAAAAAATAAAGACTTACTTACTAGACTTACTTACTTGAGTAATTTATTGGACTACTAGAAACAGAAACAAGATAATAAATAATGAAATAAGAATATTTGGAGTAAAAGTAAGCATAAAGGCCCTACTAAATATAAGTACCAATATACAGATTTGCATTAAAATACATTTAACACTGGTGCTTTTTTCTTTAGAAAAGTGAAAAGGTTACACAACAAAACAATCTGTACTTTTCTGTCATTGGTTAAGAGGCCTATTTCTCATTCACTGGAAAAATACCGAGTGTTTTCTTCAGTTTGTTTCTGCTCCATGCAAACGTAAGTGTGTGGGTGATTACCTCTATTGCCTGCAGCAATGGATGAAGTCTGAATGGGTGTCTGATTGTTCTCACCCCTCACCCATCGTACCTGAAAGAGACTGTAAAAATACTGTAAAATGCTCACAAAACATCTAATGAATTACAATGAAATCTCAAATGGGCAATCACAGTATGGAAAGTAGAAATGTAGGTGTTGCCCATGGACTTTCGAACTGGACTTGGCAAATGGACCTCAAAAAAGTTTGAAACATTAGATCCAAAGTTGAAGTAAGCAAAGCATTAGTATATTTTTGTAGGTATCTAACATGGTGTAGTTGTAGTTAGAGTTGTCAAAAGTATCAAAACTACTAATTGAAACTAGTATTAATAATTTGACCAGGTATCAACACTTAAAAAAGTCACATTCACGGCAGAAATGAGTCTTTCCTGAATAGTTTTAGAATGATCTTGAGCTGTGATCTGAGCAATGACCACTGTGGAAAATATCGGGACCACGACATCAAGTATTGGTCCTTAGTATCAAAATCCAATTTGAGATTTTAGTATCGTTTGAACACTATAGCTGTAGTAGACTCGTTGTGTTCAGTAGTATATCTTTTTGCATATTTCAGCTTCCCATTTGATACATTTTGGGGACTTTATACCGTTTTAAAGATAGGCTATAATGTTTAGTTTAAATTGTTAATCACTATAGAAACAATCAAATTTTTCATCATTCCTTAAACCCACTTTTACTTTAACTTCTTGAGTTGCTTTCTTTGATCTAAACTTTCTTTTTCCACTTTAAAAGTCCATTATTACGCAAAACAGACTCACATGAGCTTTTAGTCAAGTTGGAATGTTGTGGCCACCTCAGAAACACCTGGAGTTGCGTTTTGTTTCACACATTAATTCACATTCCATTAAAAATATTTTACAAACTACAGAAAATGGTCCTGATCTATGGTTTTCTCATCACAAACATACCTGCAGCTGTGTTTTGTTTCATTTACACATGTTTGAGTAATCCTTTATTATTATCTGTCTATATTTCCTAAACTAAAAATGCTCTGTTCCACCTTGCGATGTCATGGAGTGGTAGTTTTTAAATTAACATCTGCATTTTACCTTTTGTACAAGCCTCAGCCTACTCAGTTTAGCCTAAAAATGCAAAGTTTGTGTGTTAAACATGTTTGTGATGAGGAAACAGCTTCACAACACTGGAAATGGCACAATACGGGCCCTTTAATATGAGAATCACCTAGTGCAGATGTATAGAGTTGAAAAACACAGTGGTTGGAACAGAGTGTTTTATGTTTCAAAGAAGAACTCAGCCTAAATATACAGTGTGTGTGTGTGAATTCAATTAGGATCACACACGTTTTTAGTAAGACAGTGCCAAGTAAACAGGGCATATTTTTCTGAGAAGTGTTCTCTTTGAGTTTCTGTGTATTTCCGTGTACATGTATGGGCCTCTGCAGCTGTGGGTCATATTTTAAAAAAACAAAAACAAAAAAAAAAACAAACTCACACAAAACTCCATTGAGCCCAGAGCGGCAGTGGTGTTGCATAACGTGACATATAGGCCTACTACTGGCACAGACTGTACCTCCCACTGAAAATATATTACATCATATGTAGGTTACTCATAGCATAACATAATATTTTGATCATGTTAGTCAGGTTAGAACGTCTTGTAATTTCGTGTGCATGATGAAACAGGTTTGTCTAGGACTATTTCAAAGGTGTCTAACTAATAATGATAATGTTCGTTAAAACACACTTGATTAATTCTTCACACCTCAATAATTCAGAAATGGTGTTAGTTAGACTGTTCATGTAGCCACAGCTGCCCTGGAGAGGATTGACAGAGTTGTGGCTGCTATTCTGCACACGTGGCTTCTTCATTATATCCTGAGATTTGGCTCATTCATTTGTGTCCTTTGCAGTGGACATTGAGTTAACTAATCTTCAGTCAATCTTTTAAGTGTTTTGAGAGAGACTCTTAATAGGGGGACTACATTCCTCTGCTTAAAAAGGGCTGGGAGATTATAGAGTACTATCATGTCCAGGATAAAAAAATAATAATAAATAAACTGAATAGGAGTTAGTTTGTGGCTGCCCTATGATAAAAAAATTATAATAATAATAATAATAATAATAATAATAATGAAAAGGGAGTCTAAAAACGTTTTGAGGCAATTGTAGAAGCTTGTCTGAGATGTTGTTCATCAAAAAAGTTGTTTTTGTTTGGTTGTTAACGTAACATGGACTTAACACCAAAATAACACCGGTGTCCATTACAGAGGACATGTTACAAAATTATAAATAAAAATAAAATGAACAAAATCTAAATTCTAAGGTGTTCATTTACCTCCAAACAGAAAAACAAAACAAAATAAATAAATAAAAATTGCAATACACTTTTTTTCTTCAGGTCCACACAGGTTCACACTTGCACATTCATCACATTAGAATTGGGACTAAACCTGGATTAGACTAGACTGAACTAAAAACTAGACCAGAACCAAACCAAGTCTCAGGACTAAACTGGGCCAGAACTAGTGTGAACTCACCCATAGTCGCACAGTCAGTCGGAGCAAAAGTATCAAAAATTAAATACTAAGTGATACTAAAACTAGAATCAAAACCAGATACCCATTTGAGCAGGTACCAGTACTTAACAATTCACATTCACAGGACAGAAATGAACCTTTCCTGAATAAATTTAGAATGATTTTGACCACTTTTGGCTACTACACACCTATGGAACCTACCTATACGACTGAGGGTTATAAGGCCACATGGTAATATGAAAGAAAGTACTACAATTCAATGTTAAAAATGTAATTCTATGTCAAAATAAAGAGTATTTTTTATTATCATTGTGGAATCGGAATCTGTATGAAGTAAGTATCAAATGTATGTCTTAGTATCAAAATCGAGTCTGAAATTTTAGTGATGTTTGTTTGTTCTATTGTCTATTATAAAAATAAAGGTATAATGCGAATACTGAGCAGTGTATTTTGTCAACAATAACAGTTAAAGGTTGAGTGTTTTCCGTGACCACCAGGGGGCGTACAAGTACTAGATGCTTGGAGTTGTTTGCTTCATTCACATGTTTAACTCACAAACCCTGTTCCTCTCTCAGACAGAAACACTCTGTTCCATCTTGTGATATACAATTTTGTGTATTGTGGTAATACAGGAAGTACTCCACTGTGTTTTAAAAGCTCCTTACTCCAGTGAAAGTCCTGGATTTGGCAATCTCTATTGAAATAAAGGTAAAAGAAGCTGTTAGACTGAACTCACAAGGAGGTACAGAACATTTTGAACTTTGCAAATGTAGACAGACTAATAATAAAGGGTTACTCAAACACGTGTGAGTGAAACAAAATACAAGTCTGAGTATGTTTTTGATGAGTTAACAACATTTTAACATGGCTTAAAGCTAACAAGAGACCATTTTGGGTAATATAGTTCCTTTAAAGTAGCCTAGCAGTATTTTTCTTAATGCAGGAGATCCTGTCCTGTAGCGTAAGCATCAGCGCTTATTTTATTGTGCACTAATTGAGTGTGTCTCGGGTAATTTGTCACCATATGTACGCAAGGGTTTGACAACAGATGGCTGTTTCAGATTACGGCTCATTTTATTTCATGGTTGGGTATTATTAATGATCTTAAACAATTCAGCTTTTAAGAACAAGTGACAAGGTGGCCGCGAGACACATATTTAGTGCGCAATTAAACAACACAGTCACGATAAACGTGACTTAAGACTTACTTTACGCTTGCAGGTGATTCACGTGCCAAACACCAGGTGGCACGATTGGTCCGCAGTTTAATTCC